GATAGTATCCAGAAGTAAATTTTGTAAAAAAAAAATTCCATTTTTTCTGTATTTTATTTATAAATGGACTTAGTTTTCTGCCAGTTAACATTACATTCACTCTGTGGTTAAAGTTTTTAAAATTTTAACAACTTTCTTAAACTATCCTAGATTTGTACCACACTTGGACAGAAGCTTGTTTATGATCAAAAGCTAGTATCTAGAAGGAAATTTTGATAAAATTTGGTTCCATTTTTTCCGTATTTTACTTATAAATGGACTTAGTTTTTCTTCCAGTCAACATTACATACATTCTGCAGTTTAAGTTTTTAAAACATTTATTAGATTCATAAATTATCCTGGATTTTACCAAACTTGGACAGAAGCTACTTACAATCAAAAGATAGTATAGAGAGGAATATTTTTATTAATTTTTTTCCTCATTTTTGTTGAGCCTGCGATTAACACCAAAAGTAGGTGAGACACTGGGTTCCGCGGAACCCTTACGAATTTTTGTTTTATAAATATAGTATGCTTTCATCTGTTTTACTACATATCTTTACAAATGTTTATTCGCAATTACTTATGCAAGTAAATTGTGATGTGCTTAGAATTAGGTTTCTTCTGCTCCAACACTAATCATTGTATCTATAATACAGAATAAACTGTTGACACAGATATGTCTCGCCTGTTGGCAGAAAATTCAGAAAAAGACAATCTGATGGACAGCAACATGGCTTATTAATTCAGTCGATGGACCATGATCTAGTGGGCAGGGCCTGGAAATGGACGACAAACTGAGATGTACAGACAGTACCGCAACTTTATAGAAAATATTGTTGAGGACTGCAAGTAGTTCCTATCAATCTAACTAAAGCAGAAAACTTAACATTGAAATTGCTTATTTATTAAAAGTCACTGGACCTTGTCCACTAGGGGAAGGGCATCAAAATAGTTGTCAAACTGATATGTACCGATAGTAATATTAACTTTATATTAAATATCATTGATCTATCACAAGTAGATCCTATCAAACTAACTTAAGCAGAAAACTTAACAATTGTTGATGCCTTCGTCATCGTCACCTGAAAAGCAATCCCTACGTCTCACTTTCCATGACTTTCGTCACAGGCGAGACAAAAGTATGGATTGATTACAAAGAATATGTTGTCTAATTATTTATCTCTCAAGTGGTGTTTCCATGGTTTTACATGAAATTTTGCCATTAACTGTGATTCATATCAGTACCTGCATGAATCAACTAACAAGCAGTAGGTGTCCATCAGAATACCAACAAGGAATTTCTGTATTTTGAAAAGTGCTTTCAGGCTTTATTGACCTACCACATTCTATGCATATTTCCTACTCCTGAATGGCAAATATAAAAATAATCAATATCACACTTGACTACCATATTTTAAGAGCATTGATTGAATGATTCATAAAGTAATTGCACCAAATGACATAAAGTGCTATTTTTACAATCTATCAAGAACCATAACTCCTAGACCCCAAAAGTGAAAATAATCAATATCAAAATTAACCTTTGTTTTAACGGCATTGGTCAAATGGTTCACAAGTTATTGCAGAAGAAACGACATAAAGTGCAATTTCCAATAGATCAAGGACCATAATTTCTGAAAGTGCAAGTGAAAATTGTCAACATAGAACTTGATCTCCATTTTGTCATCAGTAACAACATATTTTATAATTTTAAAACCATTGGAAGAAGAGTTCTTAAGTTGTTGAACCGAAACAACATAAAGTGCCATTTTCCAATATATCATGGACCAAAACTCTCAACTGTAAAAGTGAAGATAGTCTTTATCAAAAATGACCTCCATTTTGTCATTAGTATAACATCAAAATTTGAAAAGCATTGGTTGACCAGTTCACAAGTTATTCCACAGAAACTGTTGGCAGCCTCCCGCCATACTGAACCAATTTAATTACTAAATTTTTCATTCAGAAAACAGTAAAAAACTTGGCTGTATACTATGTCTCAATTACAGGCTTCACAAGGTCTGAATCGATCACCTAGCATATTATAAAAAATGCTCCAGCTGGGGCGCAGCTTGATACGACCGCAGAGGTCGAACCCTGAACAGTTGGGGCAAGTATGGACACAACATTCAAGCTTGATACAGCACTGAATTTGGATTGTAATTAAATATTTGACACAGCATAGGTTTCTGACACAGAATGAATGTGGTCCAAGAACTTAAAAAATTTTATTTACCTATCCAAACCATATCATTATTATTTGCTTTTATATATAAATCAGAAATAACCAATTTAAAATGGAAAATTTTAAAAGAAAAAAAGGAAAAAAAAATCACACACCCCCCCCCCCCAATTTTTTGAACCCCCTTATGATTCATCACCCCCAAACTAAATCCCAGCCTTCCCTTTGTGGTATGGTACCTTGCAGTACAATTTCAGAGAGATCTATACACTTGAACACAAGTTATTGTCTGGACACTAGAAAAATGCTTGTTTTTTGGCCCCAAATTCCTAAACGTTTAGGGCAATTACCCCAAAACTCAAACCCAGCTTTCCCTTTGTGATATGGAACCTTGCAGTACAATTTCATAAAGATCCATACTTTTACACACAAGTTATTGTCCTGAAACTAGAAAAATACTTGTTTTTTTGCCATTTATGGCCCCTAATTCCTAAAATTTTGAGGGAATTACCCCGAAAATCAATCCCAGCCTTCCCTTTGTGGTATGGTACCTTGCAGTACAATTTCAGAGATCCATACACTTGAACACAAGTTATTGTCTGGAAACTAGAAAAATGCTTGTTTTTGGCCCCTTATTCCTAAACGTTTTGGGCAATTACCCCCAAACTCAATTCCAGCTTTCTCTTTGTGATATGGAACCTTGTAGTACAATTTCATAAATATCCATACACTTACACACAAGTTATTGTCATGAAACTAGAAAAATGCTTGTTTTTTGCCCCTTTTTGGCCCCAAATTCCTAAAATTTGGAGGCAATTACCCCCAAAATCAATCCCAGCATTCCCTTTGTGATATGGAACCTTATGGTACAATGTCAGAGAGATCCATACACTAACACACAAGTTATGTCTGGAAGTTACAAAAATGCTTATTTTTGGCCCCCAATTCCTTAACTGTTGGTACCATAACCCCCAAAATCAATCCCCACCTTCCTTTTGTGGTATTGAACCTTATGGTAAAATTTCATAGAGATCCATTCACTTAAACTAAAGTTAGAGTGCGAAAACCAATGTGTCTTCGGATGACGACGACACCAACATCATACCAATATACAACCGCAAAATTTTTTTGCGGTCATATAAAAATCATTAGCAAGTGGCAGCCATTTTTTGCACACTAAAAAAGATTCAGTATTCATATCCTGTAATACAGACTACAGTGGTTGTTGTTGGTTGAAGTCTCTCATATTTGTTTTCCGTAAATTGAATTGTTATAAATTATGTTAAATTGCTCAATTAAATTGTTCCAATTTTCTTGTCTGGCCTTTTATACCCTATTGTGATAATGGTTTTTCTCATTGTTGAAGGTCTTACAATTACCAATAATTGCATACTTCTACAAACTGGTGAGTAAATTGGTTAACATCTGATTCAATTTAAGACAAAATCTATTCATGAAGTATTTTAATACCATCCCGTTTGTTTCCATATACAAGTGACTTTTTGAATGTATACAACTACTGGGTTTTCTAGCTCATTGATATATATTCCATTTTTTTTTGTTTATTCATACAGATATGCATGTTTTTGTTGTTAATTTATACTTGGCAGTTATGTCTGTAATGTCTGGTTTGTTTCATTGTTATTGTAGTTTGTTCTGTGTAACCTCCATTATATGGTAACATCTTGGACTGATGCACATAATTCTTAATATTCACTATATTTATTTACAAAGCCAGTTTTGTCTTAATATCTATAGTATCTTGTTTTCATCCCCCTGGTAAACGTATCTACCTTAAGCATAGCTTGTTAAAAAAGACTGTTTATCACCATTTTATAAACTTTGTATCCTTAAAGCAATAATATACTATACAGTTGTTTCCTCCTTTTTAAGAATACATGATACATGGGAGTGTTTTGTTTAGGTCTTTCAGATGTATTAACAAACAAGAGGCTCTCAAGAGCCTGAATCGCTCACTTGTAATTTTTTTGAATTAAACTTTCATAAATTTTTGAAAATTAACAAACATGATGAACAAATTAAGAAAAAATGTCTTTAAAGGGTTATAACTCCTTCAGGGATCAATTGACAATTTTGATCATTTGAATTATTTGAAGATCTTTCTTTGCAAAACACTTTTGCTGTTTGTTGTTCATCTTTTTCTCTAACATTCAAGGTAATAACCAGAAACTGCAAAATTTCCTTAAAATTGTCAATTCAGGGGCAATAGCCCCAAAATCAGTTGGATAATTTGTCTAAATATTTCAGGGCATGTAGATCTGTCTACCTAATGAACACTTTCACTCCTGTGAGTTTTGCTATCAATGCTTTAGTTTTTGAGATATCAGCCAAAAACTGCATTTTACCCTATGTTCTATTTTTAGCCACAACGGCCATGTTTTTTGACGAAACACAAAATAAAACTAAAACTACATTTTACCCCCTACATTCTATTTTTAGCTACGGCTGCCATGTTTTTTACTAAACAGTAAATAAAACTAAAATTTTGATACAACATACCCTAAGGATCATTCAGCTTAAGTTTGGCTGGAATTGGTTCAGTAGTTTCAGAGGAGAAGATCTATGAAATAGTTTACACCGGATGGACGACAATGACGACGGACGCTGAGTGATGGCAAAAGCTCACATTTTCTTTTAGGAAAGATGAGCTAAAAAGAGTAAGTAGCAAAATAGGGGTTTTTTTTGGGTTGCTCTCTCATTGATATTTACCCAACATCTTCTATTTATATATAACCCAAATTGAAGACTTCTTTCTTTACTTATGTGTGTCAGAAAGGCTGACAAAAAACAACATTTCTTGAAGAAAAAAAACTAATTTTTGTTTTGGTTTTTGTTGTTTATATTCTGCAGACAGTGATCGTTCATCCTTCAATAAATAAGGTATAACAATAAATATAATGCCAAGCATTCTGATAAAAACTTCCCACTTAACATCTACATCAGGCACAGGAAAATTGTATTTCCCTTTATGTACAATTACTAGCTAAAATGTGCACAATAAAATAACAACTATTGCATAATAAAATGTTTGTCAACAATTTCCAAGACTTGTCATTTCAATGCTTAATTAATAATCATACTATCATGCATGCCAAATTTGCCTCAAATGAACTAGAAATAGGTCTATAATATTTTCTTTTTGGGTTAAACTATTGAACAAATAAACTCTCTGCAAACATTAGCTTAATACTAATCTTGTTATAAAACATCTATTCAAACATCTAATTTTCTTGACTTTTGTAAAAAATCAAAAAATCAAATTATGATAGAAAGTGAAAACTAACATTTCTGGTATATACAATGATTAAATGAATGTCTATACAATCTGTACATGTGTAATGAATTGATGAGCACACTTATTTACACATTAAAGTACACTGAATTTTAAAAAACTATCCATTCAGGGGGGTATGAACACTGAAATATATACAATGTCACATTGTTCAGGACACAGACACAAAGCACTTTCAATGTCATGAAACACTTCAAATTTACGTATTAGTGATATGATCTACTTCCTCTCCATTTTCATATTTTCTCCACATTTCTTTAAATAATTTCTCCATACTGTGAGCATACTGCCTTATGCTAAACAAGGGACTTGCTGTTCTACCCTTCCAAACTTTAGCTCTCATCCTCCTCAAACTGAAAAATAAACAAAATTTATTTATTATAATTACTCATAGTATTTACTGTCAACAAGTAAGTGACATTGAACATGAGTTATCTAAGATTGTTTATGTAGAGTAGAGGGACAATGAATCACTGGTTAACTACCAAAATCACATTAATGCATTAAATATTAATCTGAGATAATGCTGTAGTTCCCAGTATTTGGTATCACCACAGATTGCATTCAAACAAACATCTTTTAAGTATTGATACCTTGCTCTTTCTCTTTCCTCTCTGCATCAAATAAGCTTTGGGTATAAAAGTCCCAATTAGTCAACATTATAAATTATTAAACTACTTACTATTGAGGTTCTGCACCAAGTTTTGTTGCTATTTTGATGTAATCTTCTGTGTTTTTTGCTACTAATTCAGAACATCCTAATGCATGCAGCTGAGATGATGCTACTCTGGAAGCCAGTGTTTCACCTAAATATAATAAAATTTATTAAGCTACTATTAAATCGTTAAAAACATACCCATTGACTATTTTAGAAAGTTTCTACAATATGGTGTCCTGAGTCCAACAATCAATCTCTTATAAGGGCAATACAAATAAGCTTCACTGCTGGAGCAATTATTTATTATAAATGTTTAAATTGTTTGATTTTGCTGTAAATGATCTTTTTTTATAATTTCAAATAACAAGAACTTTATTTCATGCTTAAATCTAAACAAAATAATACGACATTTAAAATAAATGACTGAAGAATAATAGACATACCTGGTAATGTAATCATAGGTGTTCCTGCCCATAATACATCCATGCCTGTTGTATGACCATTACACAATGGTGTATCGAGACATACATCAGCCAACTGACCTCTTCGTACATGCTCCTCCTGAAAATTATAAGATAGTTTTGGAAGGGTATGCAGAAAATCTGTTCTTAAAGGAAAGTCAATACAGTTTCACAATGTATTGTCATTTCTGTAAACAAAACTCTTGCAGGGCAAGTTGAGCTTTTAGGTTCAAATTTGGGATTTTTTTTCAATTCTGATGAATTTTTCAAAGAACTTAACATCAGAAGTAGATGTAACCACACTTATTTGTAGATATTATGTGAACATTGTTGGCCTTTATGAAATTTCAATTGAGTAACAAGCAACAAAAAAAAAGAAAAACATGTAGATGTTAAAATACAGTGACACCATTCATTGATACCTTTAAATTTGTAATTTTTCTGAATCACTTCAAATGCTACACATCAACAAAATTGAAAGAGTAGAAGACTACAATAAACATTTACCTTTGGAGCAACATGGGAGAAAACAATCCTGTCAGCATTCAAACCACTAGCTGTTGCTCTCTTGACAACATTAGCTTCACCAACAGCTGGAAACCGCAATAACCATAATATACTGTCAGGAACATTCTTAAGAATCTCTATCCACATGTCCAGTGTAGCTGGATCTATCTTGTATAACTGGTTAAAGTTACAGTACACAACAGCATCGTCTGGTAAACTGTACTGACTACGAGCACTAATAATGATGTTCTGTGGTATTTCCTCTCCGGTGGCAGCCTTATTGTTTGTTTGGTTTGTTGTAACACCATTCTGGATCACAATATCATTAATCATAGAATGAGACAGTCCTGTCTGGATCATGGTTTGGAGAATAGTTTGTACAGGTAAATCCATGATGTCAAATGTGACCTTGGCAGGTGATCCATCTTCATCATCTGTTGTCTCTCCATGTTCAGCCTCATATACTACTCTCTGTAAATATAGTTATAAAGTCATTACTTTTCTTTGTACAAGTCCGTTTTCTTCTTTTGTAATATCAAGAATTTTACAGCTATGCTCTTCAGAAAATATATGTGAATGCTAAATACCTGATAATAAGAAACAAATGCATAAGTGGTCCTGTTTTCATTCTAATTTCATTGGAATTCATTCTTTTGTTGTTATATAATTATCTTGCAATATGCTTAAAATAACTATAAAATATTATTTCTAAAATATAGCCTTGTACTTGCAACATAAAATATAAGCATTAACTTCTGTGTAAGGTAAGAAGACTGAGGATACTAATTAACTTCTATGTAAGGTAAGAAGACTGAGGATACTAAGAAAGCTTTACCTTAACATCTCCCGTTCTTTTGAGAGGTTCCAGATCTACGCCATTCAATATGATATTGTTATCTGATACTTTGCCATTTGACTCTATAAGTATCTTGTTCTTGATATGAGGGAACATTTGCTGATGATCTCCAATAAAAAATGTATTGTCCATAAAGGCTAACTTCTCAGAATATTGATCTTCTAAATGTATCGGTGATGTCACTTCATCAGTTAAAATATAATCCATAAATGAAGCGCCACTTGTACCTGGATATCCAAGCCACATCACCTGTAATTCAAATGCAAATTAATACTTTGTTTTCATTTATTCTGTTTTGCAAGATCTAATTTATTTTGATATCTACCAATTACAGACTAGGTGCAAGTTTTTTTTCCCAAATCATAACTTTCTACAAAAGACCCATTTTAAAGCATTCAAAAATATTATGAAAATATGTCAACTTGTTTAAAAACAAGAGACAGGTTCAAACGTACATGTATCAATATTACATGTACGTGTGAACCTGTCTCTGTTTCCAAACAATACATCAGATTCTATACATTAATTTTCCATTTATTAATCTTGTGATGTCAGATGTCTTTTTGTGTTGTTGATACGTGTGAACCGGTCTCTGTTTCAGAAAAATACATCAGATTCTATACATTAATTTTCCATTTATTAATCTTGTGATGTCATGTCTTTTTGTGTTTTTGTGCTGCTGTTTCATTGATATATTCCACCTACCTTTAACGTTCAGACCATTATAACTATGTATCCTATATACAAACCTGTATAGGAGCTGCCTTCAGAGCAAATAATTCATTTCTAGCTCCTTTTGTGTAACCATTCATGTTTACAAGAATTTGGATACCATCTGCATATATCCTGTCCGCAGCTTTACCATTACATGGCACCTGAGAAAGAAAAGGATCTCTCATAATACTCCGATGGGTTAGGGTTTAAAACATTAATTCCCCTTTCATGGTTGTCAAATTTACTTTATTGGATATTAAAAGTAAGTTTGCAAAACACATAAGTGCATCCAGCTCAAACATTTTTGTTTTATTTAAAGAATGCTCAGTAAATTAAACCTATTTGTTAAATAGTAAGAAAAGGAGTTGGATGACCCCAATTTTCATTTTTATTTTCTGAAAGCACATCATAAGAACTGTCTTCTCATATTTCATTTTAATATTTAGTTTGCTTTCTATTCACCTGAAAATAGTTTTTCCATGCTTAATCTTTACAAAATCTAACAATTTTGAACAACCTGTAGCTCGAAAAAAAAAAAAGCCCTGTAACCCCTACTTTTTAGTATACATTTTTTATTGAAAGAAGCATGATATAAACTAAATATTAACAAAGTATTTGAAATTCTATAGTCTTTAATTGAGACACCCTCTTCCTCAAGTTATAGGTTTTAGTCAGGATGTTTACCTGTGATAGATCAATGAAATGTTCAGCTTCACTAGCAATCTTGTTTCTGAAGGTTGTTCCATCATCTGGACTTAAGGAGTAACAGAATATCTGCAACAGAGAATTTCATCGACTTGTAATTTGATAATGTACAGTAACCACATATGTATGTATTTAGAATGTTTTGGTAGACAGTCTACATACAACTATGACTTATTAAAGTTATCTAAAAAATTCTTTTATTTTTTCACTATGGCACACAAACTTTAAATATAGCAAATATCACAACCAAATCAACCACTTTGACAAAACTTCAATTTGCAATGCTGTTCTTGTGATCTTTAAATATTCAATTTATTTACTCTCATGTAATCTTGACCTTTCTTTATAAGGGCTGTTCCCTAAAAACATACATGGGACCCAGGGAAGGCACTTCCAAATCTCAACTATGGTTAGATTTTTGCATAGTGGAAATGTGAAATTTTAATTTGCCTCTATATATATATAGGTGGTTTCTCCATTTTTAAAGTGCCTTCCCTGGGTACCATGTATGTTTTAATGGAAAAGCCCTTACCATCAACTCGAGAGAAAAAGAAGAATTTTTACCTCAACTTCCCTCTTGTCGTGCATTCCAGGAATACTTTGCATTAGATGTGATGTCGGATGATTACAGAAATCGGAGCTGATATAGCCAACCTTAAGCCTGCCACTAGGATCTATGTGTGCACTAGGGTGTTCAAATGGAGGTTTATGTAAAACATTTATCTGTAATAAAAATAACATTGAGTAACAACATGTGAATAATTTGTTGAATGTTAAAAATCATTAATACTCAAACGTTGTACTTTGAAACTTTCAATATTGAGCCTTACACATCTCACGAAGAAAATATGATCAAAGTAACAAAATCCTTAGTGAATTAAACTACTGGAATAACATGTTTTGATGAGGATAATAAATTTGAATGCTAAACAATGTTTATATACCTTTTCTAGACAAAGATTAGCATGTCTGGCAGCAATAGCTTTCCTCATTGAATGAGACAGTGGGTATAACATGCTATGATGTGGATGTACTGATGGCAAACGATTTTTCTCTAACTGATCCTGGACAATCTGTACAAGACGTTTCATTCTAGCTGGATAGTCACTCCAATCACACACAATCTATAAAATACAACCAGAAAATATGTCAAATTTATACTTTTAAAAAGGATAGTATTTTTGATGTATTATGCAAATAAAAGTAATTCATCTGAACTTGCATGTATTTCTTTCGATGAATAAGTTTACACGAAGTCGTGTGAAAAGGTCATTTGTTCAGAAATTCATATGGCAATATTTTGCAAAATTCATTTCTGTTCAGTATTTCTATGGTCAAACTGTTTGGATGAGATTGTCTTGAACGATTCTAATGAAGACGAAACTTGACTCATGAAGACAAAACTTGAGTCTAGTGTATCTAAATCGTATAAAGCCTGGCATCTTTGATGAGGATTTTTAATCTAAAGTAACTTACTTGTAAACAATGTGCTAAGTTGCAATAGGCATCAGGAAAGTCTGGCTTCAATTTCAGAGCTGTTCTGTAGGATGATATAGCTTCTGGTATATTTCCTGAATCCTGTAAAATATTTTGTTTAACGACTTATAAAAGAATGCTGAATTTTGATTTACTAGAGTAAATAAAAATGTCAGATGACAGCTTGTATAGTAAGACAGTATGTATATTACTACTACCTTTGATTATAAAATATTTTGCTTTGTAAATTTTAGTTTAACTTCTTGTACATGCAGTTTTAAATAATAACCTCCCCCCCCCCCCCTCCTTTTCAAAAATTTATAGATTGATCGGAATTTTCCTGTTCAGAAACTGATTTTTTTGTTTAAATATCCAGTAAAATAATATATGCCACTCATGACTTTTTAACTACAAAAAAAAAACATGATTGTTATGCTTTCTAAAGATATTTATAAAGATTCCATTTTTCTTTGTTGGTTTTTTTTTTTGCTATTTCCTGATTAAATGAGACTTAAAAGGCTTTTCTAGCTTTCCTTACTTTATGTATGGACGCCAAATTGCTATGAGCATCAGCAAATGCTGGGTTAATCTGTATAGCTCTGGTATAACATTGTAGTGCTCCTTGTATGTCCTGCATCTCCTTCAATGTGTTACCCATGTTAGAATAGGCATCAGCAAATGTCGGGGAAATCCTGCAAAATTCATTTACATTAAAGATCAAGTTATTCATACTAATCATATACTGCTTTTCAGTGAACTGCTTTCTATTTTTACTTCATATATTGTAGAACTTTTGAGAACCTCATATTGAGAAACATACATACATATACAAGTTGCCTTTTAATCAGGTAAAATACAGATTTTAAGCTTTTTTTCTTTCTTTCAAATCAAAACTTAGCAAACTTCTGGTGGATAGTCTCATTGGCAATCATACAACTGGTGGATAGTCTCATTGGCAATCATACAACTGGTGGATAGTCTCATTGGCAATCATTCAACTTTTTTCATACTTCTATATGCCTTACCCCAGGTTGAAAATAATGGCAATAGTTCTTTTATCTTGATTTTTTTATTGATTTCTGTTGTTTACAGAATTAAATGTAGAGGGGGATCTTTGGGCTTGTTTAATTTTGTCTTAAGAGTCAATTTGGAAGTTGCTGTTATCTTATAACATTTTTCTTTTGTTGAAGACAGTATGTTTACATGTAGATGTCATTGGTGTCTTCTTTCTGTTGTTGGGTTGCTGTTTCATTGATGTATACCCCTAATTTCCTTTTGTTCATTTTAATAAATTCAAACGTACCTGATGGCTTCTTTATAATGTAATAATGCTTCATGTAATTTTCCTTGCTGTTGTAGTACGCTGGCTAAATTAGAATGGGCTACAGCAAACTCTGGATAGACCTCTAAAGCCTTCATGTATAACTTGACTGCATCCTCAGTTAAACCCTGTTCTCGTTTGATGTTTGCCAAGTTGTTTAATGAATCTGCATGTGTGGGACATAACTTCAGTGCTGTGTTATAACATTCTTCAGCATCAACAACCTGAAATATATCAATCAGCAAAAAATGTGATCTATTTAATCTAAAGCAATATCTAAAGCAAGAGATAGTGTATGTATTATCCAATTTAACACTGCACCTTGATACTGTCTCTTCATTCCTACAAAAAAAATACGCTTATACCAAACAGATCTGTTCTTAAAATAAATATGAAACTGAGGAACTATTCAGGTCAAAATGTTGATTTTTTAAAGACCATCATGGTATACATTGTAATCATTTTATTTGATGCTTTATCCGATCCTGATAATAACCTATTAAATGTCCACAACCTCTAAAGATGGTTGCTATCTGTAAGTCTAATGAAAAGAGTTTAGAATATTGATTGAAAGAAATATTGTTTCCTTAACCTGCTTCAGAAATTATTGGCAAACTAATAGATATTGTAAAACCCCTGTGCCTAGCTAAAAGGTGGTTAATGATAACATATATCCTTCAATTGGAGAAATTTTTTAAGAGCCTGTGGGAAGATCAGTTACTATAATTAACTAAAGGGTTAGAAATTGTGACAGCCACTGGCAAGAGGGGTTATTCTGGATCTAGGTCAAAATTTTGCTTTTCGAATAAGCTCAAACTCACCTTTCCCTTTTCTTTCAGTGCATTGGCAAGATTACAATAAGCATCAGGGAAGTTTGGCTGTAACTCTATGGCTCTTTTATAGGTATCTATGGCAAGATCTATTAATCTACAAAATTACATATGTTTATTCAAATTACATCTAGCAAAATACAACAAAATTAAGGACTTATGCTTATTTAAAAAGATTTAAATTCATTTCTACTATTTTTCAGTCTTTAATCTCAATTTTACATTCGTTAAATTGATCAATTCTGTAAGGAAGCATCTTGTATCCATTCAACCATACAAGCAGAAATCTTTATGGATATTATATTTCAAAATTGATCTTATAACCTACCCTTGTTCATAATAAACACAAGCAAGATTTCCATGTACAACTGCATGATTTGGACTCAAATTCAATGCCCTCAAGTAGGCAGCTACGGCTCTACAATGGAAATAATTTGGTTATGACATTTATTTAATAGTTACAACTGATATTCTGAATTTAATCAGACTAATAATTATCAGCTTATTCAGACAAAAAATTATTTAAAGAATAAATTAACTATGAATGTTAAATAAATTTATTTACTTTTTTTATGTTATGAAATCTATTTATACAATAGTCTGTCAATAATTGATTTCAGATTTACCTATCAAATATTCTTGCTTCTTTTAACACGTTTCCCAGGTTGATATAAGCATCTAAGAAGTTGGAATCCAATGCTACTGCCTATATATAAATACAACAATAACTTATTAACAACAATTCTGAACATCATAGATTTATATGTAATATGTGTACATCTTGTGAGGAGAATACAAATCTACCACATGTACCAAGTCTAATGGAATGTTGAAATAAGTTATCTGTTCTTAAAAACATTTTCAGACAGTTATTAGGGTTTAGTTGAAATAATCCCTTCCTGAGATTGTAATGTTCCTAGCACCAGATTTTGAAGAAAACAATATTTAACTTTGGAGGACATTATTTGAAAAGAGAAGACACACATCCAGACAATTATCTGAAATATTTGCTTTGGATTACTTGTAGGAAAAGTCATTTTGTTGGTGTCAGACTAAACTGTCTATAATACAATTTGGAGATTAATATTAGCTGGGCTCACCACTAAGTGGGAACCAACAGTTGATAGCTTAACATGTAAAATATATTTTTTAAATCATCTTACCTTCTCAAAATGATGAATTGCTAACCATATTTCACCTTGAGCATTAAACACACATCCTAAATTACTCCAAGCCACAGCAAAGCTTGGTTGTGTCTCTATGGCCTTCAAATAACAAGCCTACAAATTCAGAAAAAAAGTTGTTCAGTATAAAATTAATCCACAAGTATCGCCTTTAATGCCATTTGCCACGCTTTGCTGCGCTCCTACGCATGCGCTGAATGCATCTTGAACTTCTGACAGAGGAACCCTGATGTCTCTGTTATCTGCACTTACCATATTATCAATATAAAAACTTTCAATGAAAGAATCAATTTCATTGTAATATTTATCTGGAATTTTATGTTGATTCTAGCACAAAATCTTGAAACACAAAGTTTCCTCGTCTATGAAACTGTAAGCATAAAATATTATTTCTTCAAATACTTGAGCATAAAAGTGAAAATAAAGGGTAACCAAAATAATACAAACAATAAATCATGATCAGTTAGTAAACCAATCATAAAATTACATCAAGTGATTTGATTCACTTATATGATCAGCATTGAAGAGCAAGGACTTATGCTTAGAATTTCACTTTAAAAATTCAAATGCTAAGAAATATTTTCCAATTGCAGACTTTCAGACAGTATCTTGCAAACAAATATTTTTGATCAACATTTTGCAAATATTCGGAAGGAAAAATATCCAAAATCTAAAACACAAATAGAATAATTGAATATAATTTATATTTCCTGCAAGTCCTGAAAGTCAATTTTAGGTATCTAACAACTGAAAGATATTTCTCTGCTGCGACCGCAAGCGTCTGCAGAAGCGCGTGCTTGAATATGCGCCTCCAAGTCTTCATTATGACCCTTTCAAAATTCCATTGAGAATTGCTAATTTTTCAGTATTCAAACAAGCCAAAGATTGAATTTTGAAGACAGAGAAAAAAATCCATTTTTTTTCCAATTAGAATGAAAAGTCAAGATTTAATAAAACTGTTTGATTATAATTTTTTGTGAATCTTTTTAATAATTCTTTTATACTTACAACACAAAGACCAAATTCCTCACATCTTTTAGAGATAGAATGCCAAAGAAAAAAGTCAAGAGATAGCCAAAACAGTGGTTCGAATGTTTTTTTTTATACAATACCTCTTTTTACCGTGTTGTTTTGTAGTAATTACCATTGAAAGGTCACCCTGAATTCCAAGTGGCTTTTCCTGTTGACTTGTGTTCCATCATGGTATGATTTTGATACCAGCTTTTCTATTATAGAAACGATAAAAAAGATTTTTAATTAGTAAGGTAAAGTAGTATTAGTAATTTCTTTTTTAGTATGTTTCGTGTAATTCATATACACATAATATACAACTATTCATAAAACCTGCATATAACAAATAGCTAGGTTATCAATATCCCAATCCCCATTCCATGGCAGTACTTGTCAAAAAAGATCAATGCACTGAAGCTGAATCAAACTTCAGATGAAACTTATCTGTGTCAATTTACAGTTTATGGAGTTCATATATAAGGGTTAGCTATTTGAAACACACAGAAAAACAACACATGACCGTTAAAGGGAAGAATAAGAAGGCTTTTTCAGATTCAAATAGCAATTAAATATTTCTTTCAAAGATCAATACTCTTGCATAATAAAAGTTTTGCAGAATAAAAATGAAGAACTTTTTCACATCAAAATCAGAAATTACAAATAAAAAGAATGTTTAATTTCCTGAAATAGGTAAATAGACCACTCACTAAAGGGTCAAGTTTTGAAACTTTCAACACAAATGGTATATTGTACAAAAGTATTGAAATTTATAGTCTCTTTCTTTCTGTAATGTTGTAATTCTCTAAAAAGACAGGATGACAAAGTCTTGAAAGTTTCTTTTCACAAGTTCTTCCTGTTCAAATGAAAAGGCATAAGTTTGAAGCTTTTTTTTATCACAACAGTATCCCAAAATAATCATCATGCACTTAAAAAAAAAGAGAGTCATTTTGTGAAAAGATAATTTCTGAAGGCTGATTTGTCATCCTGTCTGTGCATTCTGAAAATACTGCATTTATCACACAAATGACCTTGAAAGACAGACTACATGCAAATTCATACTATATGATGGTAATATTTTTTTTCAATATTAACCCCCCCGTTTTAGGTCGTCCTTTTTACACTGCATATCAAAGTGAAACACAACCCATCTTTTAATGATTCTGCATCTATGCTGTCTTTTAAGGGAAGTACAAAACCATGAAATATCTGAACAGAAGCCTTTTTATCCTTCTTATTCTCATAATGCTGAGATTAACAACTAAAATATATTTCATACACTTAAGGGAAAATGTTTATCTTTACCCAACTTGTTTGCTACATTTATAAGATCTCCTACCTTAGCTTCATCCAGTCTTCCTAATGCCTTTAGCAGATTTCCTAGGTCACTTCTCACACAATATAAATCCTGTAAAAACACAAGTTCAAATGTATACTTAGGCCGCAATTAAAAATATCTTTGTTTCCCCTTACCCTACCCACCATTTTGGAAGTGGGTAGGTAGGTAGGCTTTTTTTTTTTTTTTTTTTTAGAGAAAATCCCTTGAATATATCTAACATACAGGAAAACACAGAAAAACAACAAATTGAACTTTATTGATACTAAAACAACATACTGTATAACGTATTATGCATGACTAGAAGACCTTACAATTTCAGACTAGAAAATGTTTGTAAATATCAATGTCTTTGTGACTTAGAGTAGACCACATATAAATTGAGATACGGTTCTATATCTTTCTTATAGTTTTATTAATTCAATTGAAAATATAAAACCCCAATGAGACTGCTACCTAGTAACATTCGATGCAAAAAATATGTACACTTGATTTTCATTTAAGGAAATACTAGAAGCCACAAACCGTGATCCAAGCGAGTATGACTACGCCTATTAAGGCTTATTCTAGAAAACTATGAATTTATTTTTAACAATAAACTTTACCATGAAACCAATGGCGTGCCTATGTGCGGATCAGCATTCGCTGAGTTAGCAGACCTTACAATGTTTGTTAATTCTTGAACACATTTTACAACTCTTTCAACACAGAGAAACAAAATGATAATGATAGTTGAAGTTCACCTACAAATTTTCCTTTAATGAAACAATATTCTTAGACACTGTCATAATTATACAAAGGAGAAAGATTCTTTAACGAAGGCATAGTATGATACAAGACATTAAAACCAATATCAAACCAACTGAAACATATCAATATCTGCACAGACACTGCTCACACCCAAAAAGTGTTTTCATTGAAAGGATTTATCAAGGGTGAAGTATTGAGGTATCTCAGAAACACAAGCAGCAAAACTGATCTTAAAAAAACAGTAAGAAGCTCAAACGAGGATATCAAATATCTGAAATCAATGATTTTTTTTTATCAAACACAAAATACAGAGAGGGAAACCTTGCTAACACATCGCCCAGCGAAACGGGAGCAACCGCTTGTAATGTTAACAAAATTCAACCCATCTATACAGAAACTAAAAATATAATAATGAAACACTGGCATCTTATTTCACAAAACCCGGAATGTGTGACCATATTTAATCATCAGCCCATAATAGCTTATAAAAGACATAAGAACTTACAAGAACTTTTATCAAAGCATTAGCTGGTATAGTCATCTCGACTTTTCACAACACAATATGATGCTGAGCTCGAAAAAAATCAACTACTATTTTATCCAAAGACAACTAGTGTATGGTCCAATATCACATACGAAATGAAACAAAATAGCATAAATAGCACGCCAATATACAACTTATTGAGTCAACCACTGATAAAGGCGAACTCAGGGATTTACCACAAACACGACAGAAACACCGGGCCTAACATCTTAAGCTCAAGGGTGAGCTCGGATGCGCAATCGTAACTACTCGGCCATTCTCGCTACGCATTTTGTTATTGGAGGCGTAGCTAGAATGGAATAGTAGTTAAGATTGCTTGGGTGCATTTATTTAAAACATTATTCCATTCCAATTTCAGTATCCTTGCATACGTTGTTTACCCTTTGCTGCAAACACACGGGCGACAATGATTTCGCGGAATGTTGAAAATACGGACAATTCAAGGAAACGAAATTAAAAAACGAACTTTTGAGCGAAACGAAAAAAAAAACAACAACGCGATTTTCGAAAAAAATTATTTCAGTCGGCGGATTTTTAGAGGGTCGGTCGGGTAAGGGGAAACAAACTTAATTTTAATTTTGGCCTTATAATTAAATCATTTGCATTCAAAACAACATCTAGTTGGTTTCATCCCTTTCATGGTTCACTTACTTCCCTGTCAAGTCTTCTCAACCCTAAATTTTGCTGTATTATTGACAATTACCCACACCTCCTTACGCTCATTAATAAACAATATACAGTAGTTGAACCAGTAGGAGATATTTGTTAATTGAGAAACTTTTGCATGATAACTCTCCACAAAATTTCATCAGACATGATATTATTACAATTTTCCTCCAGACTTTATAATCGATGATAATTCCCAGTCTATTACTGCTTTGGGGGATAAGGAGACGCTTCTGTTGGCTTTTATTGCTTTCATTTGTTTTTAGTTACAGAAACAGACAGTCCCAGGCAACCTATTATACTTTTTACAACCATATCAAAAATTAAAAGCTTATACATTTGCGGATATAAATTGTTTCTTGATTTACATCAAGCAGATTAATCATACATACTGGGTTATATTGTAATGCTGTGACATAAGCTTGTACTGCCTGTTCCAAGTCTCCAGCTGCTACCAGGGCTGCTGCCAAGTTAATATATCCATCTATAAAATCTGGCTTCAGTCTTACAGCATGTCTGTAGTTCTCTAATGCTTCCTGAAGTTGTCCTCTCTCTTTGTAAACATTGCCAAGATTAGAGTATGCCTCTGCTAACATTGGGTTTTGTTTAATGGCAAGCTGACTGAAGTAAGCGGATCTGAAATGTGTATTTAAAAATCAAAATGTCTGACACAAGTGTTGCAGTGAATGTAATATACAAGTAAATTTTACAATTATACAAGAAATTTTTAATTTGCACAGAAGTTGGAAACTATTCAGACAGTGGTGAACACTTTCCAGTCACTGCCAAAATGAAAAACAGTCAAACACAGATTTTGAGTCCTTGTCATTTTACAGCGCAATGAATTTCCTTGGATTGTCCTCTAATTTTGATGACACTAAACAATTGAATACTTATGAACTTGTTTGAACTTTTATGATTCTAATACCACATGTACTAGTTTTGTTCTGAACTAACCTGTCCAGTCTTCTACACTGGAAATGTGTAGAACTAAGTAACAACAGGACTCCAGTGTTATCTGGTTCTTGTCTCCATAACTGCATGCACAGCTGTTCTGCATTCTCATAATTACCTGCCTGATATTCCCGGTGAGCTAATTCCGCTAAACCTGAACAAAAATAAATGATTAAATTAATAATTTTATATATCAGAGATGAAGTGAAGAAAAATCGGCTGCTTAACATCCAGTGGCAAATATTTCATGCATGTTCAGGATGATAAAAGGTGCTGAATAAATAATCTTGAACTTGGCAACCATCATATTGCAATTGGTCCAAGGACACAGTTATCGTCCTTTGGTTTTCGTTGTCTACAAATATAGTCCCTAGTGTGAACAGTGTATAACTTGCATTTTTTTTTTGATACACTTTCCCAATTTATTTCTTGATATTTTATGCATGAAATATTAAGTAAGGGGATGAAATTACATGTTAAAAAAATTTGGGTGCTGAATCTTTATGTTAAGTAGTGATTTGGTCCAGTTAAAAAAGGTCAAAAATTAGAATGTCGGAAGCTGTCAAACTGAATTTTAGCCCCCCTTAACACAGAATTGTCAATATTTTGAGTTAGAGCTGGTAGAAGTTTCTATAATTTTGATATTATTTGTATCAATAGTAGTACACTACACTGTAAAAATCTTTTTGAGATAGAGCAGGTGCGATTTTTTTAATTTGAATTTATTGTCTAAAAGAAATGCACTACGAAATAACTGTGTTCTCGGGCCTAAGAGATGAATTCCGTAAATGTAGATTCTGTACTTTGGCAACTTTCCTGAATGGTTTTCTGGTTTCAATTTGTCAAACTCAATAAAAGTAAAGGATTTACATCTTTGTTTGACAGAAATTCTGTTAAAATGTCCCATTTTGGCATTATACGGCTAAAATAAGCATTTTAAAGCCGTTTCCATTTTATGCCTAAGAGCCATGCTGACTTTCTATCTGACAGCTTTTTATGTTCCTGATATTTGTGTTTCTATGCTTAAATCAAATTTAATTAACCATTTGTGAACTCGGAATCTAGAGAAAAGTAGATTATCACAGAAAAAATGTGCAGAATATTTGTATTTATGTCCCTGGTTAAACGGCCTGTTTGATGTATGTGAAATGTGAAGAGCTTTGTACATAAAATCTGTAGTCCGTCACAAATATTTCACTAAATCTGTAAAAAAAACACTTTACAATGATCAGTACACCCTATTCATTTCATATGCTACCATAATTTTCTTCTTTAGGATAGTAAGTGGTTCAAATATATGCCAAATGAGACTAAAACTACATGCAAGCTTTCCATTGAAAAGTGAAAAACTGGTCATCAGACCATACTGTCTGCAAAAAAAAGTTGAATTCAAGAGTCCTTTTGCAATTAGACTTCTTGTATCATGACATCTTAGCATAGAAATGAGCAAAAAGTAACAAATTTCACTTCCTTATAGCCTCTGTGTGCATTTTTATATGTAAATATGGGCTACGGCCTAAATCGACTCTAAATAATTCTCAGTCTTACATGGCCTAAGACCATTTCATACTCATGTAGTATGCTTTTTGTAACTTTTCTTTACATTTAAAGTACATTTAATATATATGGAAGAATAATGTATGGTTAAAAACCTTCAAAAACTTCAAATTGGTTGAAAAAAATGCGTGTTTATGTAAGGCTTCCCTTAATTCGAAAATCTCTATTTTCAGGCACAGGCTCATATAAATTTGACTTTTGAATAACTGTAATAAATCTGATAAATCAAATGAGTGTTCCGTTGCTTTTAATACTTATTATATTAAATTCAAGAGTATTTAAAAAGCAAATTTTTGCAATATTTAAATTTTTTAGGCCAAAATCTTGACAGTTGAAAATATTTGATTTAAACAACAAAAATAAACATCCAAATTTCAATATTAAAATGGCCCTAGTTTCTATAATATATAGCCTATGTCCATGAAACTTGGCCAACTATCTTAAAATTGCCTAAGCTTAGGTCATGCAAAGTTTTATTAAAATTTGTCAAGTCTTTCTATCCTATTAGGTCCAAGGACACAGTTATCGTCCTTTGGTTTTCGTTGTCTACAAATATAGTCCCTAGTGTGAACAGTGTATAACTTGCATTTTTTTTTTTGATACACTTTCCCAATTTATTTCTTGATATTTTATGCATGAAATATTAAGTAAGGGGATGAAATTACATGTTAAAAAAATTTGGGTGCTGAATCTTTATGTTAAGTAGTGATTTGGTCCAGTTAAAAAAGGTCAAAAATTAGAATGTCGGAAGCTGTCAAACTGAATTTTAGCCCCCCTTAACACAGAATTGTCAATATTTTGAGTTAGAGCTGGTAGAAGTTTCTATAATTTTGATATTATTTGTATCAATAGTAGTACACTACACTGTAAAAATCTTTTTGAGATAGAGCAGGTGCGATTTTTTTAATTTGAATTTATTGTCTAAAAGAAATGCACTACGAAATAACTGTGTTCTCGGGCCAATTGGTTACAGGTATATAAAATAGTTTAGCCAAAAAGGTGGATTTTACTAACTTAAGAGGAAGTAGGGCTTTACTAAACTAACCTTTATTATAACATAACCCTATAAACCTAGCTCTAAAATACAGGGTACCCTAAAGTAAATCGGTGTGCTGCAACACCACTGTCCCAGGTTAGGGGGAGGGTTTGAGCGCTCACAAACATGTTCACCCCCGCCACATTCTTTACATGCCTGTTCCGAGTCAGGAGCCTGTAGTTCAGTGGTTGGTTCATGTCCAGCATATTTGTTTTACGAAAAATGTTTTGTTATAAATTAGGCCATTAGTTTTCTCAATTGAATTGGTTCATATTTTTCATGTCTGGGCCTTTTAAAGCCGACAATACAGTGTGGGTTTTTCTCTTTGTTGAAGGCTGTATGATTGCCTATAATTGCTTACATCCACTTCATTTTAACTTTGGTTACAGGTACCAGTCTTTTACATACATTTGTGATAACTTGATTTTGATGAATTCCAGTCTGAATGTCCGGTGTTGTTTTTTTGTGGATTTTTCTAAAAACCCTACATTTTCCCCAATTTTGGGAGCAAAATTCCCAAACGATCTCAAAATTCATTTTCATCTTTATTATTCATGACAGCGATGTTTATTTTGTTCAACCGTTAGCTTTATGCCGAAAATCACCAACAAGTAATGTGTAAATCCGAGTAAAAACATATCTGACTGCTAAAAACAACAATGGCTGCCATCAACCGAAAAAATAGACAATACCGGATCAGATTCCGGAAACGGATAAGGCCAATTCCTGGTTTGCCGACCAAATACAATAAATAAATTTTAAAAAGTCCAAGCAGGTTCACAAAATACAGCTATGAAATATAAACACTAGAATTGAAAACCAATAGATATATGAAAAAGAAAGAAGATACAGGAAATATTTTTTACAGAAACTCTAAATTATTTTTAGTTCACAAATAATTTTCATGTCAAAATCCAATGAAATGTCACATTACTTTTCTTTAACACTGAAATGCTTTCAAGCAATTGTGCACAACTTTCATCAAAATATACTCTTGTCACATGATTTTGTTTTTGTGCATTTGAAAGGAGTAGGGCACAACAAGTCATAAGTTTGTTGTATTTCGTTGGATAATATAAAATTAGATGTACACATGTAATAAAAAAATTGGTCTGGTAAACAAATGGTAAAGCCAGGTTGTTTACCAGACCGAATGTCCTGTAAAAATAAAATTCTTTTGTGTAGTCTGGTTTACAAACATCCAAGCAAACATAGCAAGTCGATCAAATGTTTGCTTTGCATGCTTTTATAGAAAAGCTGTAAATATTAGAAAAATGTATTTCTTTGGTAAAGAACAGTGCATTCGGTTTGGAAGTACATATATGCCTTAAGAAAGTTAAAATAGAAATGGAGAATATGTCAAAGAGACAACACCTGACCAAAGGGCAGACAACAGCCGAAGGCCACCAATGGGTCTTCAACGCAGCGAGAAAATCCCGCACCCGGAGGTGGTCCTCAGCTGGCCCCTAAATAAAATTGTGTACTAGTTCAGTGAAAACATATCTTAAGGGGGGATTAGCTATCAAATTCATAAACAGTAAGTATATAAATTTGATTTTATCACTGATTGATAATTAGTGGGTTACTTAACGTCCAGTGGCAAATATTTCATCCATGTTCAGGTACATATTTTAGCTGAATGCTTAGCGATTCTGATCAATACAAGTCTGTATGTCTATCTTGATAAAAGATAAACCTTGTCAGCACAAAATAATGTGTAAAACAGCACCTTTGATTTGCCACGCACAACGACCAAATAACCAAAAAGGGGGAGAGGTAACTTTTATGCTGTAATTGTTTATTTTTTGCATACAATACTGTGACAACCCACCATTTTTTATATGCATGTAATTGGTATGTGTATAAAATTATGCTTTCAAAGTACCTGTGACATCAGAAACGGTAAACGTTGCCATTGTGGCAAT